CGATAAAATGAAGTGAAATTTGAAAATTAGAAATATCATTTTGTGATGCAAAAAAATATTTTTAAAAAGACATTAGTTATTCCTTAGAGTTATTCTCATCCCACAGATGCCTTTCAGTTTTCTCCATTAATCGGCCTATCATTAAGCCATTTTGTTCCATTTATTCATGTATCAAATTGACAATAAATTAGACTATTCAATTCTTCTAGTCAATCTCTTTATGGTTTAAGATAAGATATTATGGCTTAATGATAGACTCGAATAATTTCCTAAATCAGAAAATTTGAAAGTGACAAAGATAATTGAAATTTTGTGCTAATTATTGATGAATAAATGAATAACCTTTGATATTTGAATTTGTACATTTCATGAATTTAAATGGTGTTTGCAATCTGTGATTTAGTAATCAAAAATTAATTTTTTCAACCATTTGATTATTATTGATAAAAGTTATTATTAAGTTATTCAATTAATTTTAAGTTAAATTTTAAGTTTAAAATTAAATTATTAAGTTATTCGGTCATGCTAAAAAAGATAATGAATAATTAATTCATTTAAATAATCGAATAATTTCTCAAGCATTTATTTAAAGAACGATAAGAACGAAAGTTATTTGCAATGTCAACTTTGCTTACTTACTTTTATATCTGATCAGTTTTAAAAGTGAAAGAATGAAGCAAACATTGCAACATTAGCGCACAAATTATTCTTTACATACTAATCAACATGTTGTATATCAATATGTATAATAAATTAGTCACAAATTATTTTTCCATCTTTTCTCCTTTTTCATCTCTCTCTCTCTCTCTCTCTCTCCCTCTCAATCTCAAGAAAGAGAGAAAGGAAAAATATTTAGAAAACAAATATAATTTATAAAATTTGAATGCTAAACATTTTTTCGGAATTCTTTCATGATCGTAACATTTAGTTTATTCTGGACAATGAAGAATGGAATTTTTATTTTTATTGTAAATTTTTGTATTAAAATTTTTATCATAACATCTTAACATTAACAGATCGAAATTTAAAAGATCGAAATTATTTTGCAAATTTAACATAAATTCTTCTTTGAAGAAATTAGAATTAATAAATAATGCAATTAAAACATTTCATTAATTATCACTTATTAATAAACAATGCAATTAAAACATTTCATTAATTATCACTTATTAATAAATAATGCAATTAAAACATTTCATTAATTATCACTTATTAATAAGTAATGCAATTAAAGAGTAATAGAATTTCATTTCATATAACTGTCACTTATTTATTAATGAATAAATAATGCAATTAAAAGTGATCGAATTTCATTTCATATAACTGTCACTTATTTATTATTCATATAAAGCAAACTAAAGATATTGAATTAAAAGATTTTATCAGTAAAAAAAATAGTTTTTTATAGAATGGTTTAGAAGTAAGTGATGCCAGCTTATTTTCCATAATAAATAAAAGTTTATAAAATGTAATTAAATAAAGTATCTTAAAGTATCGATGAAGAAAGTATTCATTTAACAGAAAATTCTTTAATGAGAATGAAAGGAAAATAATTTACCTTGTTTTCCCACTGAAAATCAATCAACATCATACATCATTTAATACTTCTTGCAACAGGTAAATGAAAGTAACCTTTAGATTTAGTTTCCATGAAGATAGCATTAAGAGACAGGTAAGACAGGTAAAAATAGATGGATCTTTTAGCATTATATCGAATATTTCCAATAATTACCAGAGTCCTTTTGACCATTTTATGTACTACTGCTAACAATGAATAGAAAAATAGAAATGCAGTACATTTGGATTCCGTAACAATATATTATCAAGAAAGGAAATTCTCCATTTATCTCCCTCTTTTTCTTATTCTCTCTCTCTCTCTCTCTCTCTCTTAAAATTATATACCTAAAATAAAAGATTTTTTTCCCTAAAATTATTCTTAGAAGTTTTTTTTTTTGAAAACTCATTTTTTCCGTTTTCATTTTTCAAATAAGCAAAATTCTTTCGGAATTCTGAATTGAAACAATTTCTCACGATACTTCATTTTTGAATATCAAAAAAGAAATCCATTTCATTTATTTCATACTTTTCCCATTAAATTTCTTTTGTAAATTTCAATCTGTAATTAACGAATTCGATATTTCGAATTCAATTTTCTTCATTTCTCAATTTTTCATTTTTCCGCGGAAGTGCAACGTTTTTGAGAAAAAAGTATCATTGCTTTTTAATATTGCTGATTTTAAACTATAAGAAGTAAAATGTTAAGAATGAAATTTTAAAAAGTAACCCTGAAAAAATAAAATTTGAAATGGACGTATAATTGGAAACGTATAATTCTTTGATGTGACATGCAATCAGTTATATGCCTACTACAAGCAATTCATCAAACTATAAAAATTCAACGATCTTACTGACATGAGTGTAAAAAAAAAAAGATTCACAACTGATTGATATGATAATAATCTGTAAATTTATTTTAGCACAAATAAACAACAATATCTATATATTGGTAACAATGAAATTTGAATATCTTTCATATCTTTGGTTTAAAAAATGGTTAGCTAAAAAAAAAAAATCCTGTTATTATTAATTAAAATTATTATTGAAAATTCTAAATGATATATCGGATCATGTCATTTTTGCATTTCGCTCTTCGTTCTACTGATATCGAAGTTGTCAAGATAATAAAGAAAGAAATGAAAAATATGTTTTCAACTCTCTTTCATTTTACTTATATTCAAATTTGAGTATCATTCAAAGTTACTTATTGAGTCAAAAATGATATCACTTTCATTGCTGTTCACTGAATTCAAGAAAATTTCTAAGTAGTAATGGTGGTACTTCTTGTTTGCGTATAATCTATTATTTTGGTCTTAATTAAACTTAATTAAGCCAATATTCAATAAATGCGTAAATGAAATTGTAATCTTCAAGTTGTAGCAAATAATGCTTTATTTATTTCCTATTTGTATTTCACTTCACGTTTTTGTTTGATTCATTGTTTTAATTAAATTCAACGCACATAATGAGCATTGGAGGCTAAAATGACGTCATTTGAATCGTCATTCACAGCCTGAAAAGTTGGTAAAACAAATTGATGCCACATTTCTTAGGCTTTTTTTAAGAGTGAAATGGGTTAGGTTATGGCGAAAAAAATAAACGGTGCTTATTCTTAAATTAAGATGAAAAAGAAAAAGATGTGTAGTGAAATTTATCTCTCAACAATATTCTTGCAATAATTATTATAGTTATTATGAATGATCATAATTATTATTAGTGATCACAATAATAATTACATATTATTATTGTTATTAATAATAAATAGTAATAATAATAATTTTTTTATTATTATTGCGGTAATATTTACTACTATTATTGTTAGTAGTAAATATTTACTACTATCATTGTTACTATTATTATTATCATTATTATTGGGGATGATAAAGAGGATACCAGAAAGGTATTTCGTATGTTTTTTTACAAAATTTGTAACTCATCCATATATAAACTTAATATTTGTGATTTTGAGTTGCGTGATACTAATAAAAAGATATCTGCTAATAATTTATTGAAATCTCTTTCGTCTTAAAATATAATTGAACTTTTGGTATTTCCGATCAGTTATGAAATGAGCCTTCTGAAATGAACCTTACTGTTAGAAAAATTATACGGTTAAATAATTGCAAGATTATCATTCGCTTTTCATACTATTATCATAATTAGTTAATGAGATGAAAAATAAATAATATCATAATCGTTTGCAGATAAGCTATCATTTACTCTTTATATGAGATGCTGTTTGATATCTGAAATTGTTAAATATATCTGATATCTGAAATAAAATTTTATCGAATCTTATTGTTGAATTATTGAATCTCGAGAACGATTGCAAATATAATCTTCTAGTTCATTTGTACTTTTAAGCTACCACAAAGTTCTAATGGGAATTGAGAAAAAAAATTTTATCTTATTTTCAACATTTCGAAAGCACATTTTTGCATAAATGAATTTATGCGAAAGATTTCAAAGTGCGCATTAAGTAAAGACAGCCGAACTTTACGGATAACAAATGCAAATATCAGCTTTTCTGATATTAACATCTTTATGTATCAATCACATTATTGCAAATTAGAGGTATTTGAAATAATTCAAAAGAGAATAACAGGTTTTTTTTTTGAAATGCCGAAATGGATTTACAATATTATTTTACGTCATTTTAGCTCATTTTTTTCCACATTTAATTTTTTTTCAAAAAAATTAAAATAGTTTTTGCAAAAAAATAATTATCTCGTCATCATTTTATATGTTTAAATAATTTATCAATATTTAGATAATTAATTGTGACTGATGAAATTTCTTTCAATGTCTATTTGCTTACGACAATGTTGTGCATATGCATGCGATAATCATGCATTAATTCATTACCACGTTACTGTCCTTCACAATCCTAATTTTAAGGGTGTGGAGGAGTTAGGAAGAGGAAGAGAAGAAGGATGGACTTCATTCTTGGGCCGCCCCCTTTTTCTGCATCAATTTGAGGTGTATTTCTAGTCGTGCATTTTATCGGCACCTCTTGTTTAAGGTTGACGGGTTTTGGCCGACCGACTCAATACGAAAGCCCAGTCTTCCTAATTTGCAATCTGTCGTTCGGTGTGAAAAATTTAGGAAGGTATACTTTAAAAAGTAGCCATCTTATATTCAAATACCTCTCTAAATATTTCCATATTTTTCCCTCTTCCCTCTTTCTCAATTTACCTGTCGTCAAGAAGTTATCGCTTAACTTCAAATTCTATCATTTCCTGAAAGTGGAATTTGCCAATTGATCACATCAGACATTGTTAATAATAATTAAGAAAAAAAAAAGAACAATAACAAGTATCTGAATAAACATTTTTCGGATACATTTATTACGCCAAATATTAAACTATCTTAAAAAGAAAACGAGAAATTCGTATTTTTGAAATTATTAATAAAATCGTTCAACCTTCTTGATGCTATCAAACATGTGGTTCAAAACAAACATTATTGTGATCATATATTTCATTATTATTCTAAATGCCAAAGAAATAGATGTTAATAGAGAAAAACGTTCGGATGGTGGTGGACATTTAAGTATCAAAGATTTGATAAATGCTGAGCGAATGCGTAATCAATACCATCGTTTTTTGGATGGTCAATTGAAATGGTTTGATAAGAATGAATTATATAATTTGGATCGTATTGAAATGCTAATAAAAGAGCAAAATAAATTTGATCAACCATTAATTCCTACACCAACAAAGAAAGCGACAATAAGTCGACTTTGTGGTACAAAATTAGTAGAAGCAGTGATCAAAATGTGCAATGGTTGTGTGAAACCTGTCGGTGGTAAAGCTGTTACTGTTAAACGATGTAAGTTCAAATTTTCATTCATCATTTTTTTTTTTATAACTTCAATACAATTTAATGATTTGTAGTAATTAAACTAATTATATAAGATTTAGTTTTAAACAAAAAGGTATGAATGATAAATTAAATTAAATGATAAAAATAATTTTATTCATTTACATTATTTCATCTTTTCAATGATTATATTTCATTCTTCTCTTTTCTTTTACTAACAAACAACCAATTTCAATACTGTTATTCTTTTTTTAGAATTATTGTTAATTAGTAATTAGCTAATTTGGATAAATTAAAGTTATCATTAAATTTCAGTTATATTTTGATCAAATAAGAGAAATGGGAAATGATGTAAAAGCATAATGAGTGAATGAAATTTAAGATGATTTTAAAAATCCAAAAACAAAAAGGAATTTAATTAAACAGATTTTTTGTTTCGTTATAAATTATTAGATGTCGTAGTTTGAATAGGAATAAAAATAAGCATTTTAATGTTCAAGTTAGTGTTTATGATAACATTAGTAATTTGGATATGTATAATTAAAAAGCCTTGTTATTTATATATTCTCGGTACTAATTATATGGTGATAAGTTATAATTGCAAGCGAAAGATTATTATTCCTTGTCAATATTTTCAAATTGAAATTTTAAATAGCTGTTAAAAATAGTATTAACGATTTTTTCAAATGATAGATCTTTCATTGCCGTATCCATCTATTAAGTTCGTTGTTATGTTTCGCGTTTTCTTTGAAAGGACAACAGATAGAAAATTCCTGATATGAATAATATAAAATTGTTAGTTTCCTATTCAACAAATTTTAATGCCATTGTTATTATCATTGACAAAATAAAAAAATGTACTGATAGTTTCAATATGAAATAAAAATTTTCAAATTCAAACAACAAAAATCATTTTTGGAATAATTAATTTTTGTTAAAAGGGAAAATGAATTTTTTTTTTTTTGAAAATATGATATAGCAATTTTTATATTTCATTTATTTTCAACATCTCTTTTTTCCACAGAATATTTGTAAAGATATGAATTTATAGTCAAATGATTTAATACATTTATGCAAATTAATATTAAGATAAATGAAATATAAAAGTTACTATATCATATAATATTAAATATTTTTTTTGGATATAAATTTATATTCAAATGATTTAATAATTTCTACAAATGTTACTAAGATTAAAATTATATGATATAATAACTTTTATATTTCATTTATTTTCAAATAAAATTTTCAACATCTCTTTTTTTCCCTACAAAATATTTGTAAATATTTTTTAGGTATGAATTTATCCTTCAAATGATTTAATGTATTCTATAAAATTAGATTAATATTAAAATTATATGATATAGTAAATATTTGTAAATATTTTTTAGATATGAATTTATATTCAAATAATTTAATACATTCTGCAAATTAGATTATTATTAAAATTATATGATATAGTAACTTTTATATTTCATTCTGCAAATTAGATTACTATTAAAATTGTATGATATAGTAACTTTTATATTTCATTCATTATCAAATAAAATTTTCAGCATCTTTTTTTTTTGGTTTGTTGTTTTCTCATATTAAAACTATTTTAGGAGCTATTTAAATTTCAAATTTACAATCACATCATTGTCTTAGTTAAAAATTTATTACCGGAAATCTTTTATATACTATTATTTATCATTAAAAATAATTACAAAATTTTAATTACTTTTTCCAAAACAAAACAAAAGAACAAAATTTAGCTTTTAAAATGGAATTCATAAAATTTGTTAATGAGAATAAAATTCTTTCTGCTCCAGAAAGAATAAATCTTGTTGACAGATTTATTTTTAATTTCGATTGTGTAATATCGGCAGATATGATTTGAGAATGCAAAATAGGCTTCTGTTAGATTTTATTTTATTTAGGCTGTTAACCAGGCTTTCTGATTAGATTTTATTTTTGACTACTTACCTATCACATCAATTTTTAATTTTTAGCATTATTATGGAATAGAACTTAATTAATACTAAATTGTTTGCTTGCATAAAGTAAAGATCATCAAAATTCCCTTTAGAGTGATTTTGTAAATTTTGCAACTCTCTTTACTTTTATTAAAATTTCTCCTTCATAAATTTAAGCTTAAATTCTAAAATTTAATGTATCTAAGATATTCCAAATGATATTAGCAAGTGATTTTGCAAACAGTCAAGGTATCTTAATTATCTGATAAAATAAGTGATTGCTATAAGGTCAGTTAATCAGTTTTTGAATAGCCTTTCAGTATAACAATGATAGTATAAGCATCAAAATTGTAGATAATATAAGATAAAATAAAGCTAACACTTCTATAGTGCTAATTAAAAATAAAACATGAAAGTGATTAGTAGTATATTTTAAATATTAAATGGTGAGCGCAATTATAACTTTTACCGCTTCATTTCTTCTTCAACAATGTCACAAATGAATTCGTTCAGAACCAAAAATTCTTTCGCTTAACTTCTGAATTAATTTATTTATTTACGTTGATGAGAAGATAGAAATGATATATATTCTAAGGTTAGCATGTGAAAAAAGATATTTGATTTATAGTAATTTATTAGTGACAACTTCTTTTCTTTGAATTGATATGATTTTCAGGTAAATTCTCTTAATTCTATTTTATCTTTGTATTATTGATCATCATGTATATTTGTATGTATAAAAAATCTTCAGTGATAAAATATGCTATAAATAAAATTTGATTTAAAATTTAAGGCACTAATCAATGACACCATTTTTTAGGAAGGAAGAGAGAAAAATAACACGGCCTATATTTAATAATTATAATGATAATATAAAGATAAAAAAATTAATAATAATAGTAATAATAATAATAATAAATAATTATAATAATACAAAGATAAAAAAGTACGATGATCGATTAAAAAATGGAAATTTAAAAAAATGTTGCAAAATGTTTGTTTGTTTTTTTTTTTGATTAATTTACATTAAAATGTTGCAAATGATTTCTTTTTGTTTAATTTAGATAATTAATTTAAACACTTTTGTCTAATTTTCTTTTTTTTTTTTTTTTTGCAGCATTGACAGCATTAATGAAACGTGGCGAAACACTCACTGAAAAATGTTGCATAAATCGTTGCTCTTTCGACGATATGAAATCATTTTGTTGCAATTGAGAGAATTTCTTCATCATTCCTTATGTGTATAATATGTATGGAAAAGCGAAATTTGCAACAAAAACAAAAACAAAAACAAAAAACAAAAAGGAAAAAAAAGAAGAAAATGAAAACGGATTGGAAAAATGTTACACAATTAATTGAGCTGTCAACAAAACAAAACCACAAATTAATTAATTCTCACGTAATGTATTTTTATTATTATTATTGTTTTTTTTTTTGTTTTGTTTTTTTAATGAATGATTTTATCCTTAATTTATATAACGCTTCTAATAATCATTTCAATTTGATTCTGGCATATTTTTGTTTTGTTTTTTCCTAACAATTATAATCATTAATAATTTCGTTTAACTTTTCAATTTGGATTACTTTTTTTTTTTTCATCAATGATAATGATGATAAAATGATTAATGTAGAAGAATTGTTAGTGAATTGATTTTAATCATACACAATTTATATCTATTATGATAAGTAGAAAAGTTTTAATGAATGATATATGAAATGATAAATTTAAACTCATATCAATTTTGATAAGTAGAAAAGTTCTGAGAGAGAGAGATTTAATGAATAATATATGAAATGATAAATTTAAACTTATAGCAATTTTGATAAGTAGAAAAGTTCTGAGAGAGAGAGAGAGAGAGATCGATTTAATGATTGATATATGAAATGATGAATTTATTTCTTTTTTGTTTATTGTTTTGTTTACATGTTGTAATTTCGTCATTTACTACTTTCTATTCAACGATATTGATATGTTTACAAATTTCCATGAAATTTGCAAAAAAATATTGCAAAAAATTTTTTTGCAAAGAAAGAGAAAAGAAAAGAAGAGAAAAAGCGGGTGTCAACGAAAGATGAAAGATTATATCGTCATTTTATTGCAAATTTTTGAATGAAATTAATAAACGACATTGATGATCTGATAATTGAAATGAATTAATTTTTAAAACAATAGGATTGAAATTTTTGACTTATTTTCCAGGTAAAAAATTAATAAAAATTCTCTTCTTTTATTTTTTTTGGGGTAAAGATCTTTTTGTTTCAAAAAAAAAGAAAAAAAAACAATGAAATTAACAAACAAAAGATGAAATTAAAAAAATCATTTCAACGTTGGGATAATTTATTTCATAAATTTCAGACATTATTTGATATTAGTATTTTATCCTAATTTTTGTAATTATTTGACAACCTTTAAATATTCTTTTCTTTTTCTTTTAGGCATCTAAATATTTTCAACATTAGTAATAAAATTATCGTATCAAATTATCGTAACAAAATTATTGTACCAAAAATTGTCGTAATTTAATGAATTAATTACATTAAATTACATTTCTGCTCAATTTACAACTGAATTTTCAATTATTCATTTATGAGGATATTCATTAAATTAATTCCATTTTGTTAATTTATTTTGATAATTAAAATTATAGTTATTTGAAATTTATTAGGCAACGAGAATGTTGCCAGATTATTTGACTTCAAACATTTTTTTCTTTCATTTTTTGATTTTGCCCACAAATTCCTTTCAATAATTTCTCAAATTTTCTTATAAATTATAAAACAAAAATAGAAAATGAAAGAAAAAAAATGAAATCAAAGTTATATTCTGATTGCGTTAATTGTATAATTAAAAATTCATTTGAAAATGAATAAATGATGAGATGAAACTATTCGATTGTATCACATATAATTGAATAAATATTTCATTTTGCAATAATTTATTTTATAGTTTATAACACTTTTTCCTCCCCGATCACTAAATATTAAAAAGTTCATTTCATTTTTTTCCTGATATCTACCGGATTTTTCTCATAATCCTAGACCGGATCTAATATTTTTCCTAGTAATTAAAAAAAAATTCACAAAAGAAAAAGAAAGAAATAATTTTTGAGTTATTATAATATGCTATGTGGCAGATTCACATAAAGCAATAATTAAAAATCAAATTTAAAAATCATTCTTTTATTTTCAATGATATTTATTATCATAATCATTTATATCATAATTATCATAATGATTATTAATGGTACTAAAAAAAATTGTGCTAACAATTTTGTTGTTAAAAAGCATTCATTCATTTTGTAGAAGCTTTGTAGAAGCATTTATTCATTCATCATTTTGTGACACACCTTAAAAAGTTTCAATTAACAATGAGCTTACTATCATTATCTTACATGGAATTCTTTTGATGAGTTAATTATGATTCAAATATATATTATTTCTTAATATACAATTTGATCTGTCACTAATTCTTTCTTCATCAATTGAAAATTTGAATATAAAAGAAGAGAGAGAATATTGTTATTAAAAGAACAAATATATATATACATATATATTTTTCAATATACAATTTGATCTGTCAGTAATTTTTTTCTTCATCAATTGAAAATTTGTTTTACATTCAAATTTTAGAGAGATAGAGAGAGAGAGAGAGAATATTGTTATTAAAAGGAAATTATTATTGTTGTTGTTCATTTCTTAACTGAAAATAGAAATGAGTAGAAAGAGAATTTTATTTATTTCAATTATGATATAGATTTTTCGTTGATTTTTTTCCTATTTCACTATTGAATAATAAAATAGAAAATAAATGCTTCAATTTCATTTCCACAGAGAATTTTCATAGAGAAGAAAGAGAAAGAATTTTCAAAATTTCCTTACTTATATATAAATATATGTATTCCTTCCTGACAGCTTTTGCAACTGCTACATTTTTCTTTTTTGGAAATTTTCAATTTTCATAAAAAGCTCTTTTCTTTTCTTTTCCGTTTTTCAACATTGCAACATTTCCTGTTTCATTGATACTAAAAATTTTTTGATTTATTACATTTTTTTTTTTTTGTAACACATTTATCATCTATTTGTGTGGCTCTAATCTATCAGCAATTATCAATTATCAAAATGATCATTTTATACCCGTTTATCATTTCGTATCATTTATCTTTAATCATTATGAATAGTGATGATGATGATGATGATATATTCTTTTAATGGAAGAGAAAAAAACAAAAAAAAGAGAAAATAAATTTTTAGGAAGCAATTCTCAGTGAAGATTTAAATAAAATGGAATGGATGGAGGAACTGTTATCTGCAAATTTTTTAGGACAGTTATCTTTAATTATTATGAATAGTGATTATGATATATTCTTCTAATGGAAGAGGAAAAAGGAAAAAAGAGAAAATGATTTTTTAGGAAACAATTTTCAGTGAAGATTTAAATAAATTGGAATGGATAGAGGAACTGTTATCTGCAAATATTTTAGGATGGTAATTATCAATCATTTCTTGCATTATTCTTCAATCACAGATGATATTTGTTTCATTTACGATATACATTAATCATTATTTGCTCATTGCTTATAATTTTCAAATTTAGCAAATTTTATCGTTTTTTAATTGTTGATTGATCGGCTAATAAATTTTGTCGAAATATTTCTTCATTTTTATCCATCATTAATCATATATTTCTCTCTCTCTCTTTCTCTCTTTCTTATAAAATGCATCATTACCGAAAAAGGAAATAAAAGAATTCAAAAATGATAAACAATTTTAGAAGAGGAAATAATTCTTACAAATATTGTCTTCGTTTCATTTCAGCGAAGTATCACCGATCGCAACCGATCGTTACTTGCAAACAGACAATCTTTGATCTCATTTGCATTTTTCGTTTTTTTTTTTTGTTTATGGATTTTTCAATTTTCTTATCGTTTAATTTATTTAATGTTCATTTTAATAATGCATGATGTATTTATGATAATTTGTTTTGATTTGTGATCGCATACTGTAAACAATAACCACTTCCCTAATCCTTTTTCATTCTATCATTTCACTCTATCAAATTCAAATTTTATTCGATGATCGATAAATTTTAATATTAGATGATCATAAATTAGGTCAAATGATCATATCCGGAAATATGATAATATTAGATCCTCACAAATTTGGATTATGATAGCAAGAGAAGATAAAACAAGAACATCAATCTTTGATACCTATTCCCTTTCTGTTTTTTACCTCCGAAAATACATAAAATGCAAAATTCTTAACTAATTACTGATGCTTTTCCATAATAAGATTTCTTACCTGATTTGTATCCAAATCGGTCAAAATGTGCTGTTACATCTTTAAGTCATATTTCCCCTACATAAGTCATTGGATGTAAATAAAACAATTCTTACCCGTCATACGGTATCGAAGGTACCTAAAAATTTTCTTATTCGATTTACATATAAACATGAACGGTCAAAAATTGCTATATTTTGTTTTCCGAAATTTCAAAATTTGATTGGATCAAACATGATCGAGCATCTTCCTAAAATTAGATATGTTCAGAGTGTTAGACAAAACGTTCAGTCAACGGCAGAAACATCAGATTTAAATTTGAAGTTTCTGAAAAGAGTTAAATTCGGACGAAGAAAAACTGATTCGATTCTTCCGTTTAACCTGAATAATATAATTGAGTGAAAAAAGAAATGAAAGGAAATAAAGATGGACAAAATAAACAGCCTTCAAATATAACTGATGTAACAATATATGATAAATGATGAATTAATAACAATGATGATAATGATAATAATAATAATTAATAGTAATAATGATGGCGATAATAAAAATGAAAACAATAATAATCATAAATAATAACAACAATAATCATTAATAGTAGTAGTAATAATAATAATAATAATAATAATAGTAATAGTAATAATAATAATAATAATAATAATAATAATAATATTAGTAAATTATTATCATTATTATAATTATAATTACAATTATTAATAATATTATCCAATTATAACATTAATATGCTATTAATGTATTATCAATAATATTATAATTATAATATTATACTGCATATGATATTATATATTATAATTATAACAATAATAATTAATTATTGTTATAGTGACATGATAGTAATAACACAAGTGGTAATAAATAATTAAATGAATGAAAAGATAATTGATAAATTGAAATGATTAAATAAATAAAGGTATCAATTGATAAGTGGAAAAGAATTCGAGGAATTTTCAGATATTCTGTTTATCTGAATTCAATAATTTACCTTTAGCTGTGTATAAACACGCTACGACACATACATACAAATTATGTAATTATTTGCTTAAAGCTATAACGACAATTTGAACACGTTTTTATTATTGTTGCTATTGCAACATATGTGAATGAATATTTGATAGGTTACAAATAATTTTAAAAAGAAATGAGGGAAATTGATGATTTATAAAATATGCTATTTTAGTTGAAAAGATTTTGTGGTAAAATGTGAAATGTAATTAATCTATGAAATGATTTTCATCATCATCACAAAAAATAATTTACTACTTGTTTTAAATTTATTGAGATTAAATCAAATCGAATAGATCATATCAGTTTAATTAAATCAAATCAAATAGATCTTATCAGTTAATTAAATCAAATCAAATGGATCATATCAGTTAAGATGAAAGTCTAAAATATATTCACTATATTTCAACACACTGATATGTGAGATACATAGTTGCCAATGTAGGATATTCCATTTGTTATCTATTCCATTAAACAAATAACTTAATATTTAATTTAAAAAATAAAAGAATTGTTCTCTTTTCAAATTATTAATCTCTTATGCGTAATTTTTCTGCTAATTAAAATGAAGACATAATAGGAAGGGATATATTAATCATCTAATCACTTATTTAGACATAATTAATCATTTATTTAATAAATCTATTTTATAAATCTAAATGCAACTTTGTCTTTAAAATTTCAACTTTCTCTTTTTGATCATACACATTCGTATGGTATTACTCATTGAGTTTTTATGTTGAAAATAGTTGCAAAGTTTGATCCATTTAAAACTTCCAGTAATTCTTCGACCATTTTTAGGGCAAATATTATTTGCCCTAAAAACAATTTAGTTTTGGTTGAAATAATGGTTCGAATGAAATAATGGTAAATAATAATATTTATTTCTGAAATGAAACATTTTACAGAATGTATTATAAGCCGTATGATATTTGAAACAGAAAGAATTACAATGAATAATATAACCTTTGCAAAATAACATTTACTGAAATATTATTTACCTAATAATAATAAAACTTATCACAGTTTAACAATCTATTGGTTGATAAGAGAATTACAACTTATCAAAGATATATTTTTCCTTCAAAGTTGTATAATATTTTAAGTGATTGAGGAAAAAAGTCGAAATTCCGCAACTTTCTGATTATTAGCAAACATATGAAATTGCAGAAATTTTTGCATAAATAATTTTCTTTTTTTGAAAAATGTCAAAAAAATGATTCATCAAATAGGTATAGATATACAAAGTGTAGAATTTTAACAGTCAAAATAACATCATTTTTTCCTTATTTTCTTATTTAACAATTACCGATAGATGATAAATGGCTTATCGGTTGGCATTTCTAATATTTCTGGGCGCATTTTGTGTATCATTGTTCAGTGAAATTGCGCATTGGGAACCATTGAATATTGGAATTATCAGAGAGAAAGAAATGCTTCACTTATCACCAACAGTTTTGGTGTGTTTATTTTATATGATAAATTTCGAATTCTAATAATTAGTTGTATAAAATTTCTTATAATTAATAAATTCTAATGAAGTATGTCTAGCATTTTTAATGTTTTAAATCCTATTCCTGTTGCATCACGGTAATCTGCTATATTGATATTGTTCAAATTACCATATTCTGATATTGTTGTTCTCATTTATGGAAGAAGCTATACGCTTATCGTAATTGATATTAACTTGCATCATTATCATCGAATTCTATTATTGAATTAAAAATAAAAATCATCGAGTTATCATTGAATTGGTATCATCAAATTCTTCATAATTGCATAATTTTATTAATGAAGTTGTAGCATCAATAAAATTTGCTTATTTTAATAAATCAGTAAGAAATTAATTACTTCAATAAATTTGATCATTACTTTTTATATGTATATATCGGTTTATAATGATATATTTTATCAAATGCAAATGTTATATAAAATTTTTCAAATTATAGGATGGTTTACGATCAGCTATTATTCAAATGCAATCACTCATAAGTATATGGTATCTTCCGGAAAACGATAAATTAAGTGCTAAAAATTTACAACTATGTATCCCACATTGGCAACCATCAATTGGAGAATGTTTCATGGAGACTGTACATAAGATGAAAAAATTAAATCAACTTGATATTACAAAAGATGTTAACTTAAAATTTTATCATATCAACTTTTTACTTTTTTTACAGGTATCGGTTATTCATTTAATTTACGCCTTTTTTTTAAAAATTTTTTCTGCAATTTTTATACCTTTAATTAATTTCTTTTTTTTTTTCAAGATGGATATTAAGAAATGTAACGATGATGATGGCTTACTTGCAGCTGCCACACCTTGTATCCTTATTGATAATAATCGGTAAATTTCTTCACCTCATTGTAAATTAATGATAAGAGCCATTTGAATAAGCAAATAATTTTTCTCATTAAATTGAAATTTTTGTATTTATAATTAAAAATATTTTTATATAATTTTATATTTGATACAAATTGATAATTTGTTTGTATTCTAAATTTATCAATGAATGATTTGAAAGATAATTTGTTGCTCTCTTCTATGATTAATAATTTCATATGTGATAATGATTAAAATGTTATCATATTAGCATTATAATAATTTAGCTTTATAATAGCATTATAATAATAATATAAATTATAATAATTTTTTATGATCAAATTATAAATTTTATCACTATAACACTACAATACATTTGATTAGCCAGTCCATTAGCTGCTCAATTAATTCTATGTCCACTCAATTATCGATGGAATTCTTTTCAAGCTATTATTGACCTATTTCGTCATGAAATAATGCATGCTTTGGTTGGTTCTTTTTATCGTTGGCAATATCATAAAAATTAAATTTTTACCCAATGTGAAATATTTATTATCATTGAATGATGACATATGGTTACAACTGATCGGACACTTTTTCTTACAATGAAAAATTGACCCGAAATTTGATCATTAATATTGAAGAATTTATAATTTTTACAGTAAGATTGTAAAATGCGATAAATCTTCTTCGTGATAATAATGCATTAATTATATTGTTTATACGAATTGAAATTTTACTCTCTTCATTGTTACATTAGTATTTCAAAATTATCATTGAAATTAATTTAATCATTTTAATAGGGTTTTGGCTTAATAATTCCTAAAGGAAATTTTTCTACCACACCGATGACAAGGAAATTTTTTTGGACTGATGAATCATCCAGTCAACATGTTACAGCAATCTATATGGATTTTCAGGATAATGCAGTGGTAGTAATTATTGTTTTAAAACTTTCCTGAATTAATGATATTCTATTTTAATCTATTTTTAGAATATGATAAGTTTGATAAATGTTAGGAAATGGAAGAGGAAAAATATGATGTAATAAGTTTTTCAACTTTTAAAGATTTCGCTTTTTTCTCTCAATTTATTAAGATCATTAAATCAATATCTAATAATTTGATAGCTATTCGATAGAGAGAAATTTTGATACTTCAGAAATTTCAATAATAAATTTATCGCTTATTGAATTTGCCGCTTTAAAAAGACTTCAAGAAATTACTGGAAGTTGCAGTAATTGCAGTAATTGCAGAAGTTGCAGTTTTTTTGCAGTAATTTCTTGAAGTTCGGAATTTTTTGAAAATGAAACATATTTTTCCTGAAGAAAAAAAGATGCTACTAATTTTGCAAACTTTCAAAGTTTGGTTTACAGCAATTAAAATTGGCATATTTTGAATTGGTAATTTTGCATGGATAGATATTTAAAGGATATTTGAAAGAGTAAATCATTTATAACTTTCATTTCATTCTCAGTTGAGATGAAAGGTGAAATAAATTTAGATCGAAGCAAGAAAACATTTCGGCTGTCAAAGTTTGCATGGAATTGAAGCAGATGGTGAGGATAAGATACATCTCAATGAATATATTTATGGTGTAAGATTTTTTTGCTGATGGCGTAATCATAGCATTGACTGATGGCGTAATCATAGCATTAACTGATGGCGTAATCATGACATTAATGATAATTACAATAGGTGTATTTAGCGTATGAGTAATATTTTGTTGAACTTTGACCCACGGTTTTATTATCAAATAAAATTGGCATGCATTGAAATTGAATGTTATCATATTAGAGCTTTGTGATAACAAATATTGATTGATGAAAAAAAAATAAACAGATAAGTCTAGGTGCATTTTCATTACGATAAATCATGAAATTTCTTATCGCCCTACTACGAATAATTAATTTCGAAAGAAACTTCTGGAAGTTTCCTATTTAAGGTTGTATATTTCAACTTGAAACAATACTGATAAATTATTTATGCGCATGATACTATTCAAATTTAACTAATTTTTTCCTTTAAAGTTTCTTCTCTAAAAAATTTGCTTATCTTTATTGAATGTGAAATGCGTAAGTTTGTATTTTTGCATTCCAACCATTTCAATTAATACCCTAAATCAAAATACATTAATTGATTTACGAACAAAAACGAACGATCATTTGAATTATCTCAAAGTTAATATTAGAAGATAATTAATTAATTTCATTAAAAATTCCGCTAAAAAATTTGTCACTAATATTAACTTTGTTTTTGTAGTTTTGAAATTGAATAATTTAATGAAAATTTACAACTTAATTAAGGATGAATTAATGACGCCAATTTTATCAAATGGAAGAAATTATTTGACTAAAATTTCCGCTTCAATTCTTGAAGCAACAAAAAATGGAGAAAAGTGAATGTTTTTATTTTAAATTAAAATTAACTCATTTAAATATTTTATTTTAAATAGTTATATATAGTAAAAGTTAATGAATTTACGAATTACATAATGCTATTTGTTAATTTCCGGATTGAAGCTATATTCCTTTTCCGGATGAAAGCTATATTCTTATCTCCGGTATTTCGTTTCTTTTTTTGCAACAAGTACTGGAGTATTTTCAACGATAAATAACTTATCAGATATGAAAGATTGAAAAGCATAGTGGAAAAAATATGAAGTATCATTCATGAAAACTCTTATATCTCATATATATTTAAAACTTTGTCTACCTATTCATACCTGATCTTACACACTTACCGTATAACATTTCATATTTAAGACAATGGTATAAAACAAACGAAAGTTTGGTTCTAGCTGAAACGAAAGCATATTGGTACGGACGTAATTGGGGATGTGTATTTGCCGAAAGGAGTTGCTATGAATATATTATCTATCAGTTATCACATCGGTATCATTAAAGTATTTTAATAAAGCTTTCTCTCTCTCTCTCTCTCTCTCTCTTGTAATCTTTATGTTATGAACTCAGAAATTCTTGTTTAAATTATTATTACTCTTCTCATTTTCATAAAGAGTATGTATGATTTAATTGGATAAATTTGATAATAAATTTAAATATAAGTAATTACTAAAATAAAATCAATCATTCATTCATTGATAATGATAATGATAATGATAATGATATATATCTGACATAAAAGAATTATCTAACAATTTAATAAAAAATTTCCACTGCAGCTATTTTTATTCCTATCACAACTTTCATTCAACAATTACAATTATCTATTCTTCTCGAAATTTCTTCAATCAAAAAACTATTTTATCTTTTTAACTATTTAATTACTGATACAATGATAATCATTGAATGCAATCATTTATCATTTTTCTTATCAATTTATTCATCATTTGAAAATGTTTTTCAATTTTCAGAAATACAACTTTCCCATTTTGCAATGCCAACGATTTATTGAATATTTATAAGAAATATGTAAGCGAGCATTTTTTGTTTTGTTTTCTTAAAACTTATGAATAATTAATTGTTAAGTATCAAAGTTGTAATTTTAGTTTATAAACTTAAAATACGACTCTAATTGGAAATTATTTTCTTTTAATTTAAAATATGCTAATAGAATAATAGCATAATAAAAATATTATTGTTTACTTTAATAGAGAAATATCTTAAAATATGCTAATATAAGAATAATAGCATAATAAAAATTTTTTCATTATTATTGTTTACTTTAGTAGAGAGATGCCGAAGATTTGTTTACAGTTTAAAAAATCCGGAAACGATGCAAATGGCAAATGATTAGCTGGAATAATAATACCGGTGATTATGCATACAATTACGTGTTTTTGACGTTCATTAAATACACGGATATATTTTATTTGCGAAAAATTTTGCGTAATGAACCGGAAGAGATTGAGTAATCCATCTGTTCGACATGTTATTCATAATATGATAATTATGAAAAGCAAAATATCCACACTAATATTATATGTGCAAATGTAGGATTTATGGGTCATAACAAAAAATGTATATATATATATATATATATATTTTTATATGCATATATTTGCGTTATATATATATACCTTAATATTTTCTTATAATATCTAATAACCAATATTTTCTTATTATACCTAATTACTATTTTCATTTTATATTTATATCTTAACATTTTCTTATTATATCTAATAATTATTTTTATTCTATATTTATATATTAATATTTTCTTGTTATATCTAATTACTATTTTCATTTTATATTTATATATTAATATTTTCTTATTATACCTAATTGCTATTTTCATTTTATATTTATAAATTAATATTTTCTTGTAGTATCTAATAATTATTTCTATTTTATATTTATATTAATATTTTCCTATAATATCTAATAACTATTTCTATTTTATATTTATATTTTCTTGCAGTATCTAATAACTATTTCTATTTTATATTTATATATTAATATTTTCTTGCAATATCCAA